ACCCATCTTTTTCTTTTTTCAATGAACCACGCTGGGGTATTGTTTTCAGTCTTTAAGTCTTCTGTAATTTATACTAACAAAGTCCAAATTTCGCGCAGTGCCTATTTTGGCAATTAACCCCACCGATACCAGGCTATATTCGCGTCTTACAGGCTGGGCACCTCCAATTTTTTCGCATTCGTCCTCTTACATGTAGAGTACTGTGTTATCTAATGCACTTTAAAAACAATAAAAAAAAATACATTTATAAAAATTATATATAAAAATTGTATTTGTTAAAAAAATCTCTACTAAGTAATTTATTATAGCTATAATAAAAATATTTATTAATACAATCTCTAGTTATATATGTATTTAAGCCAGAATCTGTATATGTGTTAGAGAATATGTATACATATAGAGAATATACTCAGAGAGGTTTTACTATATCAATTTTTAAAGGTTAATTAAAATTATAATTACTTTGTAAAATAAAATCTAAAATTTTTTTAAAATATTTATTAACCAAATCTAGGGCAAAAATACTATTTCTGATGGATTGCTAGTACGTTCCTGATGAAATGAAAAAAAAAAGATTTACATACTATTTCTGATAGAGTTCTTAAAGAAATTCCAAAGTTAATTCTTATGATAATACTAAGTTATAATATAAATACTAATTCATAACTTATAATTGATCACAATGTTGATTCAACTTTCTAAATATTAGTTTAAAATAATACAGTACTGTATTTATACAAAAAAACTTCAATAAGTATTATTCGAGACAAGTAATTTGAAGAGAGCTAATAATTAATTTAGCAAAAGAATTATTAATATTAAAATTTTGGTTGTATTCAGCTAAATTAAATATTAGCTCTCTTTAAATTACGCATCTTAAAATAATGACCATGGGCATAATTTTGGTAAGAAAATTTGGTTGAAAAACTTTATTAAATGATTGAATACTAATTTCCGTTTTTTTTTAAATTTTATGTTATGCATTGATCTTATAATTTGGTTGGGCAGTAATAGTGGACTGCCAAATTTTTATGCAATTGCCTTATATTTTGATAGTAGCTTAGTTTTTAGAACCCTATCAGGAACGGTATGTAAATTGTTTTTTTTTTCATCTCATCAAGAACAGTACTGATGATCCATCAGGAATGGTAGTTTTGCATAAAAAACATGTTTAATATAATTATTAGTATTGTTCTCATGTATGGGTATCTCTAGATAAAAAGTCAGTGCCCAAAAATAGCATCTTTCTAATAAATACTCAAAATATCTTTGCAATAAAGGATATAAACAATAAAAACTTTGCTTAAACTCTAAATAATACAAATTTATTTCTGAGACAGATGAGTATAAAAAATTTTTTTATTTTTTGTATAATTAATATCAAGTCTTCTTTATTAATATGGTTCTTCATATTATAAAGCTATCTCTAAAAAGTCTATAATATATGAAATATACATAAAAAATATGTTCTCTGTAACTAGCCAAATTCTAGTGCATTATGCTTTGCACTTAAATTATCAGTAAGAAAAATACTTGATCCAATTTGAGGTTAATGTCCAAAAAATGCATAAGAGAGAAGAATTGTTTTTAATAAATTTATACCTCTTTTTAGATAATTTCTGTTTTATTAAAAGTAATAAATGGACTTAATAGAAGTGCATCTACTATACAACTAGTATAAAAGAATATTATAGATATATTAAATAACTTAAATAATGATAAAACATTAATATAATACAATTTGTCTACTTATAAATTTTTTTCATATACTTGTAATATTAAGTTAGTTACAATATACTTTTGTAAGACTGCTCTGCCTTGACATAAACTATTATAATTATTACCAAATTTTTCTAAATATTTAAATATTATTTCTCCATTAGGATTATCTAATATTTTGCTATGATATTGTTGAAAAAGTTTTGCAACATAATCATAATCTGGGTTTTGAGCCTAATTAGCTAATATTTCTAATAGCTCTTGGTTATCTTTAGTACTCAAATAAAACCCATCCATATAAGTATATTATGCTAATACAGAAAAATATCTATCTTTAAACAACTCTAGGTATTTTTCACATACTTCATTTTTTTATGACAGAAATACCAATTTTTCAATCAAAGATGTATTGTAACAATACAATTTATATTTTACATTCTAGATGTCCTCAAATATATTTTACAAGATCCTTACTTTTTCTTTACTTTGTTACTATGAACACAGTAATACAATTTTCAGAAAAGTACACACCTTCTTTTAATTTAATTTTAGGCATTGTGGTTTTTAACCATGATTCAAATGCTATAAACATTTCAGATGCATTTTTTTTAGTGCTTATATTCACAAATGCATCTAATCCATATTGTGGAATTGTAAAATTTTCAGCAGTTTTAAATGATAGCAATACATTAAACCTTTTAACTAAGTAAGAATAATTTTTGGGAAGTATAGGTTTTAACAGTTCAAGTAGGGAAGACCACATAAATGTTTAAAAATTTGTTTTACTATTATTTTTTTCTAGATAATTTTTAAAATCATGGTTAAGATCTTTATCATTCAGGTTGCTATTTGTATTATTGTTCAGATTATCTTTTATATTATTATACAAGTTATTATTTATACTATTATTTAAGTTACTGCTCATATCATCATTTAGGTTGTTACTTAGCTCATTATTTAGCTTATTATTTGGCTCATTATTCAGTTCATTATTCAGCTCATTATTTAGTTCATTATTTAGTTTACTAACTTTGTCATTATTTATATCAGCCAGGTTTTTGTTCAGATAACTTTTCAGATCCAAGTCATTATTCACTCTATTATTTGGTTTATTATTTAGTTTGTTATTCAGTTTGTAGATGCTGGCTTCAAGACCTTGCTTAATCTTAATAATATTTTTATTTTGCAAATTGGTTTTAGCTTCAAGAATAGTTGTATTGTTCAAAATGTTATAGTTTTTAGTTTTAAGATTTCTGGTACTTTCATTAATTAAGTTGGAATTGATTTTAAAAATGTTAACATTACTCAAATTGTCTTAGTATTTTATATCATCCATCTCTATTTTATGTAATAATAAAAAAATCGAAAATAAAATTTATATATATATGAAAAAAAATCGGACTTTGAAAAAAAGCAAATTAAATCATCATTACATAATTATTACATAACTATTGACAAAAAAAAAAGTGAAAAAGACCAATAAAAAAAAACAAAAAGCAAAAAAAACCAAATAAAATAAGAAAAATAAAAAAATAAAAAGAAGTGAAAAAAAAAACTTTCAATGCAGCAAAAGAGCATGTACCAGTCTGTACATATGTCTTAAAATATTAATACTTAAAATACTTAAAAATTAGCTATCGCTACGTATTATCATTATAGTACGCTAATTTATTTGGGAAACGTCTAAAGCAGAGTAGATTCTTATAATACAGTCGGCTCTAGATATAACGAACCTTTTTATAATGAACTCACTTTATAACGAATTTTTTTTAGCAAATTTATTATAGAGTTCGGTATAAAAACATAGTAAATTCTCTATAAGGAACTTTTTACATATAGACCCTCAGGGTCATTATATGCAGAGTCGACTGTATATACTTTATTGAATTAACTTTCGGGTAAAGTTCTTAAATTAAGGTTAAACAAAAATTTATTTGTTTATATATATGCAAAATTGCCTTTCTGTTATTTTTGTTTAACATACCCGATGTATGATTAGACTGCTATTTTTTGTATTTTTCGGGTTTTTCACTTTTTTTTCTTGGTTTGCTTCGCCAGCGGCATGTCTGAAATATGTGCCAAGTTTGTGGCGCAGTTAGATTTCCGGCTACGTAATGATGATCGATTTCCGGTCACATATCATTTGATGATCGATACTTCCAAATAAAGATCAGCTAGAGTCAAAATTTCCCGGGTTAAACAATTTCAGTTTTACCGGGAACCTGGGGAGCAAAGTACATGGATTTTTATTGGACATATAAATTTTAATATAGAAATATATTATTAAAGAGTCTAACGATGAAAAAATCATAAAATAATAAAAGTGTGACATCTGCAAATCATGGTGTCATGTAAAATCATGAAAAATCAACCGATTTTAATAGATTTTTCGATTTTTGAAGAATTTTAAAGACTTCGAATAAAATATAAACGTTATTTATTGAAAATTATGATCAATAGAGAATTAAAATCTCGGAAATTTTTCCGTTATCATCATCACGAAATCACAGGTCACAACTTTTTGCAAACCGCTTTAAACTAAATTTTATTAGAAGTATGATATTAAACAATATAAAATTTTTAAAATGCAGAACTGTATAATCTATGAAATAAAATCATAAAATATTTATTTTCAACAATTTTAACAAATTACAGTCAAACCTCTCTAAATGCATATTCCCTAAATTCATAGTATCTCTAAATGCATGGCTTTCATGCCCCAACCAATATAACATTTATAGATTTTTACCTCCCTAAATGCAATACCTCTCTAAATGCAAGATTTTTTTGGCCGCCTATGGCTATGCATTTAAAGTATCTTAATCTAAACTTCAACGGAAATGTTGGCGCCTTCTTTTGAACTTGAACCACTCATATCCTTAAGATTTACTTGTTCATATGACGAAGCATTAGTACTATTTCCATAACGAGTCCAACCTTCATTTATTACATAAAATATTGCATTTCCAATGCTCTACCAAATAAAAAGAGATAAATTAATAAGAAATTAATTAATAGCGAGAAGATAAATAAAAAAAGTACTCACTCCCATATTAACTGCCACAGTAACCATACAATAAACCCAAGGTTTGGCACGTCCAAGTAATGAATATATATCATATGGTATGGCTGGAATCTAAAAAAAAATTATAAATATAAGATTTATTTATTTATTAGAAATGAACTATAATTTAAAATTATATTACAAACTACCTACCCATTGTATCATATATACAAGTATATAACCCAAAACTTTTACAGAGACTTTAATTTCAACTTCATCTATAGGTGATTTAAAGGTACTATTTCTAGCTCGATTCTCAACAATTGATGATTGTTGTTTTTTAATGTCACGTATAGATCGAATAGTTTGGACGTAACAGAACAAACATATAAAGAGTACAAAAAAAGTCAAAAAAATCGAAAATATTGGAACCATTATTGTATCTGCTTTTGCGGCGCACCTAATTAAATTTGAAATTTTAACAATTTTAATGTTTATGGACTAAAGCAACAATAAAAATGAAATAATATAATATAGTAATTTTACCAATATATATTAGAGCCATAAGTTGGTATTGACATAACAGAAATGATTATTGAAATGATGGATGTAGGTAAAAATAATTTCCAATCATATCTACCAGTATCACAAATCTTTTGCCTACATACTCTAAAATAATGAAATAATGAATATACAGTATTTAATATTTTAAAAAAAATTTTATTAATAAATTTTATTAAAATTTTAAAATTTACCTGAGATATGTAATGATAGAAATACCAGCGATAATTTGCCTATGAAAGAGTGTAAATGCAACTGATATAGCAGCAACGCTTTTACAGACTTGATCAGACATTGAGTTATGAAATATTGCAAGATGAAACTAATAAAGATCAAAATGTTAGTTTGTCATTTTATTAAATTAAGGTTATATTTATAATTATAATAATATAACTTACAATACTAATAACATTATTTATTACGAAAACTAAATCTGTGAATGTAAATAAAATCCAGAATAATGATAGTAAATAATTTGTATTAATATATTACAGTAAATAATATAGTGATAAAGAAGAAATAAGAAATTGTAAACGGGTAATCACGGGAACATTTCAAGAAGATTTACCTAATATGCCCAAGTAAAAGGGAACTCTAAGGGCCATCGACAAAGATTTATGCTTATGAGTCCACCTATAATAGACTCTGTTAAGCACAAAAAATATTCCTGCTAAAGCGAGAAAAGCAAAGATGAATCCTATGATAACCACGCTTAAGAATCCAGCAGGATCATCTGTAGAGTTGTGTTAAATATGAGTAAATAATCAAAGATTCAGAAATAAATGATATAACATTTGATATACCTTCGTAAAGGTCTGTAGGAGAGCCTGTAGGAGATTCAGTAGAAGGAACTTGTGCGTTCACTAAATTTTCAAATATTAGATTTAATAATGTAATTCCCAGGATGTATTTTGATGACATGGCGAATTTGATGATCATTATAAAATTTAAAGAAACTTAAATAAATGAGTGTAATTTTATAACAAAGTATTTCTGATGTAGGTAATTAATAATGAAATGATATTAAAGAAGTGACGAAAATCATCAAGTAATCTAGAATTGATAATAAAAGCTATTTATAATGGCTTCTGAATTCCTAAAAAATTTTGCTAAAATAAATCATAATAATAAATTGCTAAATTAATTAGTTATGAATTATCCGCTTACATAAAAGCTGTATCAGAAATTATCGGTTCTTACCTTAAAAAATGTTGTATGCACCATTAAAATAATTGTGTTTAATTTAGCTACGCACATACAAACAAATGTACATATGTATGTACATGCTTACATAGTTAAATACAATGGAAATTTAGTTTACATTAGATAATGCATTAGTCAAGTATTAGTCAACATGCACATTATGCATAGTGCTATTTTTGATCAAAGACTATATTAGATCCATACCTTATCAAAATTGAGAAATTTATATTGAATTATTAACTGAACGCTAGTTAAAAAAGCTATATTTTCAATTCTTGTTAGGAACCGATTAAATATTAATACTTAAAAGTCTTTAAGATTTAAATATATAGTCAGCTTCACTCGTTGTTGATCCCAAGCAATATGCATGCACCATATATTTATTCTCAATTGATTTGATGATCCATGACGGAATATCCCAAACAAGAAATATTAAAGTGCACTGACCTTAACATGATGATGATTAGCAATCAGGTTTTAAGGTTTTAATAACGATAACATATACATGTAAATCTCCAATCCAAATTATCCAACACAGTCTTACATGTGTGCCAAATCATTTGCGTCTGCTGCAAATAAGGTTGGCTAAATTGAAGTAGATGTCATGCTTTTTTGAAATAAGTTACTTTTCAAATTAAATTATGAGAATCTAATTTTGATTGACTTTTTTAAAATAACCATCTACAATTTTATTCCCTTTTTAAGATAATACGAAACTATTATGTGCATGAAAAAGTAAATCTGCTCGGCAAAAAGACCTTCAGACTCACTCTCATTTGTTCTCTTATTTGATATCGTAATCACTAGAATTGC